CCTGGATTGTCAGATCGTGTCATCCTTGTAGGTCTCTGGAGATCTCCCTAGTTTCAGATCTCTTCTCGGACCTACAGTGGCTCCCTCTAATATGATATCTCTCATCCTGCTCTCTCTCTTCTATTCTTCCCCCTACTCAATATCTCTGCTCCTCCCTTTCATCTCCTCTATTCCTCCTCTTGTGTTCTTAATGTGGCAGCACCCTCTCCCCTACCCTCATGCTCCCAATTAGCTCAGGAGTTCATGCCACTTCCCATTCCTGGGGACTATTTATCCCTTAGAGTCCTTCATGTTTCCGAGTTTCTTTGGTGAAGAGGATTATAGGCTGGGAAACCTTTGCTCTATGTCTAAAATTCATATATGAGTGAGTACATACCATGTTTGTCTTTTTGTGACTGGGTTACCTCACTCAGGATGGTTTCTTCTAGTTCCATCCATTTGCCTGCGAATTTCAAGATTCCGTTGTTTTTTTTTATGCTGAGTAGTACTCCATTGTATAAATGTACCACATTTTCTCTATCCATTCTTCAGTTGAGGGGCATCTAGGTTGCTTCCAGGTTCTGGCTATTACAAACAATGCTGGAAAAAATAGCAATTTTTAACAAATCACATAATCGATATGTGGGTGTGGACTGGATTATTAGGATTTTTTCAGTTTTCTTGTATGTTTAAATTATGCTAAATTTTAAAAATTTAAAATGATGGACATGACTGAGAGTGTACCTCAGTGATAGTGTGCCTGTTTAGCATGCATGAGGACCTTGGTTTGGTTCTCAGAACCACTAAAAGGAAAGAAAGCAGCAAGGGGGAAAGAAGGGAGGGGAAGGGAAGGGAAGGGAGGGGAAGGGAAGGGAGGGGAGGAGAAGGGAAGGGAAGGGAAGGGAAGGGAAGGGAAGGGAAGGGAAGGAAAGGGAAGGGAAGGGAGAGGGAGAGGGCAAAGAAAATGATGGCTGACTCACCAGTAAAGGGTCTTCACTCCCTCTGATGATATGCCTCTCTTCTCTGGAAGCATCATGGACTTATTAATGACTCGTGTACAACTAAGTTCATCCTAGAATTCAATGCTAATAAATACTTTCCTCATTCACTTAATCTATCCCACACTGGTCTTCAGTGTCATGTGCATGCATTGTCTTTGATCTCTGCTCGATATTAGCCCCAGGAGAAAGGATAAGAGGGAAGGGGAAAACACAAAACCAAAGCCTGGTAAGATGTAAAGAAACACTCTCATTACAGCCCACTTTGGAGCATTCTGTGTTTCTGTCACCTCAGGCATTCTGATTCACTTTGAGCATCTTCTCCAGACACAAGTCATTTAGCCAGTCGACAAGAGGAACAATTACTGCTGGCTTAAAAGATTGGTTGATTTCTCTGGTGTCTATTTGCCTGCAGTTCTGGCTCTCTGACAAATCAAGTCAGATCAATTTGTACCCTAAAGAATAAATGGGAAGATGTGATTGTTTTCTGGTTCAACAGAAAAGCATTTCATTTCAAAGGGCTGTTGCACATTTCTTCTGAGAGTCACTGAGAAGTGTCAGGTCCGTGGAGAGCTAATGGTGGGCTCCCAAGAGGATGGATGGCTGCCATAACTTCTCACCTATATTTTGTAGACAGAGATGGGAAACTGAGAAAGCAGAAAGCTGTCACTGCCAGGGACCTCTACATAGCTCATGTAAAATGTTTCTTTGCCTTCTCAGAAGCAGTGAGTCTTCTAAAAATACCTGCTAGAGGTTTCAGAGGAATGAATCCCAATTCTACTGGAAGCAAGTTCTAGAAATGTTCATCTATTTGATGCGCTAAAGCAGGAGGGTCACCGCAGCCCAGAAGTTCAAGAACAGTCAAGGGCTTGGTCCTTAAGATAGCGATGTTGGAAGACAGTGTGAACTTTAGAAGGTGGGGTCTAGTTAGAGAAAATGGGTCATTGGAGGTCTGTCCTTGAAGAGTCTATTCTTTTCTCCCTCCCTCCTCTGCATGCTGTGAGATGAGCAGCTTCCTTCACCACACTCTTCAGTCACACTACTTGGTCACTGGTCCAAAGCAATCAACGGGGCCAGGCAACGATGGACTGAACCCTCTGAAGCTACAAAACAAAATAAACTTTTCCTCTTTTAAAAGGTTGGGTTATCTCAGATAGTTTTATCACAGGGACAGAAACCTGACTAGCATGATATAGGAATGGACAAGAAGTCAGAAGGTGAGAATTTGAATTCGGTCTGTGGCGTCAACCAGCTGTGAGTGTGAGCAATCTATTTCTGAGGGGATTTTTCCTCCTTCCTATACAAAGTGACAAGCGTTTTCCATGCTCTACTTGTGTTACCAGGCTGTGAAAAACTAGAAAAGAATGTTAAGTTATGTTAACCTGTTAAACAGCCAAAAGAACTGTACTTCCTGCTGTTGACTGGTTCTGTTTCTCCTGATATCCGTAAAATTTTGAATGAACACGGAAGATGGCCACACTAATGTTGCAAAAGCGCTTTCACTATAGTATTATCAACAGGACTCATACTGTGAAAAACACCACTGGGACATCATAAATATTACTGGTGATGATGGATTCACGACCTGAAGTTGGAAAGTTTCTGATGCATACTGTAATTTTGATCTGCAAATTGCTCATCACTGTCACATAGCATAAGCCTAGCAAATCCAAAACTTTCCATCCTGAAATTGAAAACTTGCCAAGTACAAACATCCACGGTCTCTTCAGCCTCACTTCCCATGCCTTCAGTTACCCAAATACAACCATCTAAAAATATGTCTGTATGTGGCGGTTTATATTGGGTGTCAAATTGAGAAAACCCGATTCGCCTAGCAGTGGAGCCTCACTCATGTTTCTGCAGGATCTTCTTCATTAAGTTAACTGAGGTTGGAGAAGCCACCCAACGTGGGGGCAGCACTGTCTCACGGATGGGGTCTTCTGTGGAATAGAAAGGAGGAGTGAGCAGCATCACCCATCCTGCACCTGGTGCAGCTGGTCGGTCACAGGTGTCGCCGCCATGATTTTGTTATCATGATGATCTGTACCCTTGAACTGTGAGCTGAAACAAAGCCTTCCTTTCTTAAGTGACTTTTGTCTGTGTACTTTACCATACCAGCCATACAAATAACTAAAAGACTGTAAAGAATTTTGACATACTCTAGACATATAACTTTTATTGTAGCAAATTATTGCAATTGTTCTAATTTGTGTTAATCTCTTACTGTGCCTATTTTAAAATCACATCATATCATAGGAATGTGTGTATGAGAGACAAAACATCATATAGACAGGGTCTGATACTCTCCATAGCTTCTGGAATTCACTGGAGGGTTACAGAACATTCCTCTGTTGATTCATTAACAAGATTTATGTTTGACTATTGTTTTTCTTTTTTTTAAGATTTTATTTTTTTATTATGTATACAACATTCTGCTTCCAAGTATATCTGCACACCAGAAGAGGGCACCAGATCTCATAACGGATGGTTGTGAGCCACCATGTGGTTGCTGGGAATTGAACTCAGGACCTCTGGAAAAGCAGTCAGTGCTCTTAACCTCTGAGCCATCTCTCCAGCCTGACTATTGTTTTTCTTAAATTAAAGTACTATGAGACAATAAATTTACATTTTTTATCTAGAAAAAAACAACAACTACAGAAATTATTTAAAAATTTTGTATTTTTCTGGCTTTGTGTTAAAAGCCCAAAACAAAAGTCAAACAAAAGTCTAGCCTATTAAAACTTTGCTGCAATTAAACTCATAATCCTCCTGCCTCAACCCCTGACTAATTGGAATGACAGACCTATACCTCCACACCCAGCTAGAAATGGTTTCTGTTTTGAAGTATTTTTCTGTTTGTTCAGTCAAGGCTGATACCTAGTGTCACTGTTATCTACTGTGTAGCCCTAGCAGATATGATGTTCACAAAGTAAACTGTAAATAGTTCATTTTCAACAAGCATTTCCTGCTGTTAGAGCCCTATGAACACCCTGTGTTTCACATCCTTGAGCAATTTGGAGATGATTAATCACCACTCCTGCTTAGAGGATGCAAATATAAGCAAGTTGGGGAAAATGTACTCATTGATATTAATGGGATTTATTTTGGATTTTTAAACAGTAGGCAATCTTTCCAGCCATGGCAAGACCAGAACTCTCAGACCCTTTTGTTCCAGGGGAATTACGATGCCTTAATCTTTCTTTTCCTCAGCCTGGTATTCCAACACTCTATCTGTCCAAACATTTCATAATACCACCTATTCTAGCTTCTCCCACTCAGCCCCAATTCAAATGACTTCTCTCCTCCCCTAAGCTATCATAGCCATTCACACACAAATCTATATATATGGTTCAGGACCATCAAATTTTATGTTTCCTGAGGGCAGTGACCCCACAATTCATATCCTATCTCTCTCTCTGTGTGTGTGCCCATATATATCCGCAATGCTCCCATACAGTGCTTTGCACATAGTAAGTACATAATAAATATTAACCAATATAGAGCCATCATGCAGTCATCCAGCAAGAATCTATTAATTACTTCCTGTGAGACAAGCATGTGCCAGACCCTGAAATTTGAAAGTCTTAACAAGGATAAATAAGACACAACCTAATGAAGGAGACAGCCATGTTAATACAATTACAATGAGCTGTGATGGATGTGCTCTGATTAAAAATATGCAAAACAGCGAGGAAACAGGGGGAGAGAGAAACTGACTGTAGCCAGAGAAGTTGAGACAGCCACTCAACAGAGAGGGGTGGAACCAGATAGTGAAATACTTTAATTGCCAGGGTCAGTGAGTTTCACCTTGATCCAGCAGGCAGGAGACCTGTCTCAAGTGTTGCCACAGGAGAAAGTGGGTCAGTGCTGAGTTTCAGGATGCCTGAGCTCCTGGCTGGTGGCTCTGTCGGTCATAGCCGCAGGCCCTTGTTTGGATGTGCTGTTCCTGTTCTCTACTCTCTGGGGAATTTGGAGTAAATAATGGTGAGTTCCTAAGAACTGTTCATTTTCCTTAATGTTGAAGACTAAAGCAGTCACATTCTCAGAATACAAATTTACTTTTCCAAACTTTCACATAGGCAGCCACAGTAAAACAAATGTTGTTAATTAGTTGGGGCTTAAAGACAAACAGCATTTAATTTCTCCTCCCTGCCAACACACACACAGACAGTGAAATAGTACTATTTTCATAAGGAGTCAGAACTCTGTTCACAGCTGACAGAGAGACCACAGCCTTTTGGGTTTATGAGATAAGGCTTCATTATGTATTTCAGACTGATCTGGGTGGAACTCACTATATAGTACACGGTAGCCTCGAACTCCTGATCTTCCTACCTTAGCCTCCCAAGTGCTGGGAATATAGGAATGCACCACCATTCCTGGATGCCTTGTGATTTTGTATTTTAAATCATCCTTTCTAAAGAAGAAATGTACCCAGTAGAAATACTTTCATGCCCTTCCCTTCCACAGGGCTTGGAGGTAAGTGGATCTAAATGAATTTTATTTTCAGGAAGAGACAAGTAGTTGGTAGTGACCCCACATACACAAACACCTCCTAACAGTGCCAAAGGTATACCACAAAATCATGAGTGAGAATATTGTATACTTAGCAAAAAATGAGAAGGAAAGAGTGAAGACTGGGATTTTAGTCACCTTCGTGTTATTACAATGAAATACCTGAGGCAATCAGCTTAGCAAGAGAAAGGGGGTTATTTAGCTCACAGTTTGGAGGTTCAAATCCAAGATCTGGCAGCCACATTCTTTGAGCCACTAGCAAGGACAGAACACCATGGCAGTCTGCTACAACTACTTCATGTCAGAGCCTGTGTTACAGATGCTTTCCAGGAAAGGAATGAGGCAGACTCTCATGACCCCTTTTAAGGGAGTGTCCCCAATGACTTAAGGACCTCCTGCAGACCCCACCTCTTAAAGCCCATAGTATCTCCCCAAACTGCCACCATTGGAACCAAGCCTTTCTATATAGCCCTTTAGGGGACAACATCCATGCCACAGCCACGGGGAGACCAATTCTCAATCAGGTCTCACCATCCTTTAGCAAGTGTCTTGAACAAGGACTTGCTAAGAGCCAAAAACATTTCTCAAACATGGGACCATTTTTGTCAATATGGAATACACACTTATCATCAGATAGCTAGTATTTCCTATTTCTGGTTTTTTAATAAGGAATGCCCTTCTCATTTTGGTTGTCAGTGTCTCTAGCCCATTAAGACCAACAGTTTGTTTGAACTTGAAAGTCAGATTTCCTGAGTTCTTATCGTGTGTGTGTGTGTGTGTGTGTGTGTGTGTGTGTGTGTGTGTGTGTGTGTGTGGTTTATATGTGTGTTCATGATCATTTGTGTGCACATGCATGTGGAAACCAGAAGTTGACATCAGGTATCTCCCTCAATCACAAGCCACCTTACTTTTTGATACAATGTTTCTCAGTGCACCTGAAGCTCATGGATTCAGCTAGACTAGCCAGCAAGCCCCATGGATCTTGTTGTCTCAGTCCCACCTCCACCCCACAGACCAGCACTGGGATTTCAAGTTTGAATCACACACCAGCTTTTTTTTTTTTAAATTTGGGTGTTTGGGATCTGAACTCATGTCCTCAGGCTTGCCCAGTAAGCACTTTATTGTCTGAACCATCTTCCTTTCTCCCCGATCTTTGATCCACAATTTTCTATGTGATTTGGTACAAGTCACATAAACTTTTCGGACATAAATAACTAAACTACAAATGAATGGAAAGAAAGTATGGGCATGAAAACTATGAGGATGAAGACAATAGATGTGTCTGGCACAGATGGTAAGATCATCTGCAACTGCCAACTAGACCTAATTCCCTACTACCTATTGTCTGAGGATACTAATTTTGGTGTGTGTTAGTTTATCACATTCCTTCATAAACAGCACTGTACAAGTTGGGGCCTCGATGCCAATGAACCACAAGCTCAACCTCTGTGCTTCTCAGAGGAAAACAATGAAGTCTGATGACCTGCTATGGAACCCCCCTGTTTCTTCAATGGTCTAACAGACTAGCACCTGAGGTCCAAGTCCAATTTAATGCCCTCTCAAGCAAAAGTCCCTGAGTACCCGAGAAGCCAGTAGTCCATTATTTACAACACTTGGTTTAGAATCATGTTGACCACCTGTATAAGTCTGTCACAGCTGAAGGGTTTCCTGAAGTGCAGGACTTTCAATTTTAAAACCAAGACAATACCAAATACAGAGTATGGTTGGCCAGTATCTTAGTCCATCTTAATGGTACCACTGCAGTATAATGACAGAGACTAGGTAAATTAAAAACAGCAGAACTATACAGTCACAGTTCTGGAGAGTAGGAAGCCCCAAGTCAACATATTACAAGCACAACTGTCCAGTCAGACTGTTTGGTACTTCCAAGATGGTGCCTGGCTGTAACAACCTCCCTGTGATATGCTGTGTTTTCACGGGGCAAGAGGAAAGGGCCTCGTCCAGCTGCCTCCTGCAAGCCCTGTGAAGGAATGAGACTTCTGTGTCACCTTCATTGCCTAAAGGTGATTTTGTGGCATTGGGGACCAAGTTTCAATGTGAATTTTGGAGGAAACATCATCACTCCAACCATTGTGGGAACCTTACTTAAGGCAGACCTCGGTAAGTACTCACTGGGTAAGTAGATGAACGTCTCCAGAGTAGCAACCAAGTGCTCTATATAGACAGCTGGTTTATGCTGAGAAAAGAGGACATCCAAGAAGACTGGAAGGATCTAGCCCTGTCATATCAGTGTGAGTCTGACATGCAGACCCTTTCTCCCAATGAATCTGTAGTGAGAAGAGGACAAATGGCAAAGTAAAGATGGTCTAAAATGGACTTTATTCTTAAAAGTCTAGCCAACAAAATATAACCATGACAGCCAATGAGATGCTCAGAGGTAACTTACCTGACTTCAATCCCCAGACTCATATGGTAGAAGAAGGAAGGAGAGAACTCCACAAGTTATTCTCTGATCTCCACATGCAAGCTGTGACATGGACAGACACACGCACGCATACACACACACACACACACATACAAAATAAGTGAATAAAATAGCCAGAATGTAGATTCGACCTGGCTTGTCTCTGTGGTGTTATCTTGTTGACACTCTAATAAATAAAGCTTGCCTGAAAATCAGAGGGTGGAGCTAGCCACTACCTAACCATAGAAGTCTAGAGGTCTGTAAGGGCAAATGGGAAGTTAGATGACTGGGTGGAGAGAGAAAATATAATGGGGAAAGACAGAAACTCTGTCTCTTTTCAGTCTGAGGATTTTGTGCAGAGAAGAGCTCTAGTGGCTGGCTGGCTGCTGCTCTGATGTTACAGCTTTCACCCCGTAATATCTGACTCCGGGCTTTCATTAAGACCTATTAGAACTTGCGTTACATGTCCCTGAGATTAAGGAACAGCAATGAAGCCAGACTCCATGCTGAAGTTAGGAGAAGCAACTGAATTGCTATGAGGCAGGGACTAACCTACCATATCTCGGAGTTACAAGGCAAGGGCACACTGAAGGGAGACCCTAAAAGGAAAGAAGGTGTTAAGCCCAGAGATGGAACAGTGTATGAGACAGATGCAGGAGTGAAAAAAGAAAGCACTCAATTAGCTAGTGATTTGCAGGAAATCAAAGGGTGTTGTACTGCGTCCTGTGAGCCTAAGACAGTCTGGAAGGACAGAGCAATATTGCAAGGCCCAAGAACTTGTCATGCATAAAGAGCAATCAGTGTCTCTCAGATACTGATTCCCACCTCCTCCCCAACCCCCAATCTACTGCTTCATTAACCTGGCAAATAAGTACCTTCCTGCAACACATTGTATAAAATTGTGTTAGCAATATGCCAGACTCTGGGTATACAGAAGCTATTGTTCCCCTTTTAATGACAATAGTTTACTGAATTAAATTTGATGATGAGAGACAGTAACTATGCCCATTTTTGATTCCTTTTTTGGATGGTTTTCATTTCAACCAGAATCTTTTTCAGGTCACCTTGAACAAATCACAACTCTTCTCTAGACCCAAGACTCCCTCCTATTCTTCCTCCTCTATGACAACATCTCATTGGAGGGATTCTGCCCCCTGTGGGCCACAGTATTGAGGTTCTGAGCAGTTTTAGACTATTTGTAGGACTTGCCACCTGTGACAGACCCCAGGCAAGATGAAGGAGACAGATGCCTCCAGCTCCCAGAAGTTGGCTTCAGACCCAAGCAAGCAACGTGCCAAGATTAACCAGACTGACCCTCTGAGAAGCAGACACATAGAAAGGTTTCTACTCCCCTGGTCCTCATCCAATAGCTTTGCAACTGCTTCTGTTGCCAGTGCATGCAAGTTATTCTTGCAGCTGGGCCAAGACCACTGAACCTGAAAGAATGAGGCCCACGTGCTACTGGATAAAGTCTGAAAGCAAAGCTGGGAACTCCCTCAACAGGCTGTGGGCATGAATGGTTCTTCATGGAACTAGCTTGCCAGGAATACACTTGTTTGTTCCCATCCTGAGCCGGCGATGCTTTTTCTCATCTGTCACTGTTGCTCTCCTGCTGCTCACCCATGTATGTTCAGCACGGACGTGTGCAAACTAGCAGAAGATGGAATTTGCTTGAGAGGATCCATCTTTCTTTAAATAGCTTGCCATGACATTGTGTTGCCTTGTGGCCAGAGAGTGATAGAGAAAGATGCCTGAAGCCCTCTTCTGGAGGGAGTGTGTGTGTGTGTGTGTGTGTGTGTGTGTGTGTGTGTGTGTGTGTAGGAGAAGAATCTAACTGATACCAAGATTCATTATAATCTAGTGGGAGGAGGTGTCAATACATATCTGTGATCGGGGCATAGTCAGAAGCATAAAATCCAAAAGTCAGTCCTCTCGTGGAATCAGGAGCAGTTCTTGTGGGCCAGAGTAGACAAGGGCCAGTGGCCCACAAGTCAGGTCGATTCAGAGCAGACCAAAAAGAAGCAGGGGTTCTTATGCTGGGTCATCCTTTATCTATAAAAAAGACACTGAGAGGTAGTGACAGTTAACCCAATGAGTAAATGTATACTTCTAATGAAGCCAACAATAAGACCCCCCTTCCCTCTCTTTAAATAGGTATGAGTGTTTTGCCTGAAAATACGTCTGTGCATTGTTTGTGCCTGGTGCCTGTAGAGGCCAGAAGAGGATGTCAGATCCCCTAGAAATAGAGACATCTCAGCCTCTTTTTTGGAACTTCTGAATATTAATGTGCTTTCCCCCAGGATAAAATGATACAGTTTTGAGGAAACTGGAAGAGGTTCAGGGAAGAAGACCCTGTGTGTGGTGAGGAAGGACTTCTGGCTAACACCTTTCATGGCCAGATGCCTTACATTATGGTTTAAGTAATCCCTGCCTCAACTCATTGAAGTTTAATCTCCAATGGGAAGCATTAAGGATGAAAATTAAAACTGACTATGCTATTTGGTGATATGATCTTTGGGAGGTAATTAAGCGAAACCAGAAGGATGGAACTCTAATCCAAACAAGACTATGGCTTTATAAATAAGAGAAAAGAACTTTAGCTCTGTGTTGTGCCTCCAGAGTAATCCCCCATGCCTCCCAGGAAATCAGTAGATGAAGCTTGCATGAAGAAGAAACTCATGGGTAATAGATAGCTGCTCAGTTGTGAATTTCTTAATCCTTAGAACTTACAAATAAACCTTTGTTCTTTATAAATTGCTTGGTCTGTGGTAGTGCATTAGAGCAACAGAAAATGAATTAAGTAATGGGGATATCTTTTTTCTCTTTGCTTGTGTGCAGTCACTTTTCTGACTTAACAGTGTGCCAGTAAACATATGGCCAGTGCTAAAGATAGCCAGCACCAATGATTTCCACTGCTACCTTCAAATATTGCTGTTCACAGTTGCTAAGGGCTGGGACCACTGTCTACAGATTGCTGAGGGGGTGGCCAACTGTTTGGGTTTTGTTTATCGTTTGCTTTGGATGAGTCAGAGAGTCATGCATTATTCATAAGCTTCAGGCTTGAAGTAAGTTCCCTTGAAGTAAGCTCCCCCGTATAATCTGCTCATTGGACACTCCCATCCAGAACTGAAGTAAACAGCAGCACATAATGACACATGGAGTCTACCTTATGGTTTCAAGTGTATACTAGTGCTCAGGGAATGAGAAACAGAAGCTGGACAAGCAGGTGTTAAGTCAGAGTCCCGTCAACGTGTCTTATAAATTGATATTGGGCATATTGGTAGGTACATAAAAAATCTGAAATAATACACAAGGCCCATGAAAGCTTGAAGGGAAACAAGTGTAAAGGAAGAACAAAAAGGAATTAGAGAATTTGTACCAAAAAATGTGAAATAGTAAATTGTTCTCTTAAAGCCCACAATCTCCCATTCTTTCCTTCTTCATCCCTACCACCCCATTTCTAGATTTAATTATCTTGCACTCTAAACTCCAGTATCAACCTGCCTCTTCTTCCTTCAATCCATGCACATATGTCTAGCAGCAACTAACACAACTGTTTCTTCCCAAGGCATCATTCTTGAGCTAAGTTAATATCTAAGTAAAGGCATTATAATTCATAATGGATATCTGTCTTTTGCTGTTGTTAGAAAATCATTTTATGCCCCATATCAAAATGCATTGCCTCGTATAAAAGAAAGTAACATATTGCTATGATTAAGCTTATGTGTCAACTTGATTGGGCCCCGAGGTACCCAGACACTTGGTTAAGCATTATTCTGAGTCTGAAAGTTGAGAGTATTTATGGATGAGAGTAGCATTTCAATTGGTAGACTGAGTTATGTGCTCTGCTCAATGTGGATTGGCCCTATCCACATCACCGAAGGATTCCTTTGACTCAGCAACCCAAGTGGATGATTACCAACCTGATCAGTAAAAATTCTTCCTTTTGGCCTGTATTATCTTCAAGCTCAGATCAGGTATGACTGTATACCATGGTTAAGTCTCCTACTTGCCAATGGCAAATCTTTGAAGATCTTAGTCTCCATAATTTGCATAAGCCAATTTTTTATAGTAAGTCAATAGATTGATAGAAGATACATAGATATACACATAGATAGATAGATGATAGATAGACAGACAGGTAAATGATAGGTAGATTAAATGTATTGGATTGACATAAAACAGGTACAGAGACACAGTCATGAACCCTGTAATATTTCAGTCAACACAGACTTCTTATTTGACAGTCACTTCAGGAGGCTACATGGAGTGGAAAATTCCTTTCACCTAACTGAGCTCATAGCCATGGTAGCATGCTGGCACAACATACTGCTTGAGTGATTGTGGTGCTGATGCTATAAATAAGCCTGAAACACTACCAGTCATGAAAATCCAGCCCATCCAGTCATGTACACATAGCACAGGATCCTGGATAAAGATGACAGATAGCTATGTTCCTGACTTGCATTTTCTATACTACAGTTTTCAATATTGTCCCATGTATACAAACAGTCTGTATGGTTAGGTGTATATCTCAGTGGTAGAGCACTTGCCTAACATGCATCAGGTATGACCATCAGCATCATAAAACACACACACACACACACACACACACACACACACACACACACACACTGTACCTTTAAACAGTAAGCCCTATTAATGCTAGTAACAACAGCTTCATATTGCTCACATTTATTGCATCTTTGTGTGTGTGTGTGTGTGTGTGTGTGTGTGTGTGTGTGTGAGAGAGAGAGAGAGAGAGACAGAGAGACAGGTGCAAGTGTATATACATGAGTATGACACCCAGAAATCAATATTAGGCATCTTCCTCAATAGCTTGTTTTAAGACAGCTCACTGCACCTGGAGCTCATGAATTCAGCTAGCCTAGATGGCTAATGTACTTTCTCCATCATCCACTAACATTTAAGTTACAGATACATGCCACTATGCCTGTCTTTTACATGGATGCTGAGGATCCGATCTCAGGTTCTAATGATTGCACAGCAGACATTTTATTGACTGAACCATCTCTCCAGTCTCTTATGTACCTCTTAATTACATCAAGAGGCCACATCAGTTGATTGGCCTATACCACTTAGGTTTGTGTAAGTAGACTATGATATGCACAATGACAGCATTACTTCAGTTTCCTCCAATTGTACCTTGTCACTAAGAAGTACATTACTGTGGATATTTATATAGAGAAACATTGTTTAAAAACCTACTGGCCATCTTTCCCTAAATATACATTCATTATAAGTCATTATAAAACTATGTTTTGGTGCCTATCATTTGACCTAAGAAACAGTTTCCTGTAGTTTTCTTTTTTTTTTTCCCAGCCTCTTTCCTATTTCTCCAAGAATATATTGAAAACCTTTTAATATTTTGATGATTTCCTGTTCTATTGATCCTGCATTTTGAACAATTTTTTAAACTATATTTTGACCAGCTTACAGCTCAGGGCAAATGTGCCTGTCTAGCATGTATGAGGCCCTGAATTTGATCCCTAATACTGTGAGAGAAAAAGACAAAAAGAAAAGCTGTCTTTCCCAGCCCTTTTATACTCAGATGCCCACATGAGATTGATATTCCACCAAGAAAGTGCATCCAGATTGGGCTGATTCTGAACTGAGATAAATGGGGGCAAGATGGGACTGGAGTCGTACATATTTCTAGCATGGACTAGAACCACTGGTTGTGTTGGATTCCCAATCGTAACAGATGCTGTAGCTCCAACCATTTGTGAGTGAAGAAGTACACAGAGTACCTTTTGGCTTCCCCAGAGTCTGCCGATGCAGTCTTAGCAATGACTCTCCAAACTCCCTGGCCCTTAATAAATTCTGTTCTTCTTAAAGTAACCCCAAGAAATTCATTGACTGCAACTAAGAAACTGACCTATATGTATATATATTAAAAAGGGTAGAGCAGAAGTAATTACAAATAAACAAACTTCAAAGACATGGTGCCTTTATACTGAGTGTATGACCTAGTTGAGTTTGAAATGACTGCTTGGGTATCATTAAGTAATGGGGTACTTGTAATTCATGGTATATAAAGCGGTAAGGCAGCTGCTTGCCTGATTACCTATGATCACTTCGAATAAAACATCTGCCAAAGTAAAGATCTGGCTTCCATTTTGGTTGCTACCATAAACCATGGTGTAAACTAAAGCACGTATAATCTATGGTTTGAGCCAGCTGACTCCATTGGTGTCAGTGACTTTTTCAATACATAAAGATAGGTGGAAGAGGATATGGGAGGAACTGGGAGAGGGAAATGACTATGACCAAAAGACATTGTATGACATTCTCATTAAATTAGGGAGAACATTGTTTATAAAAATAAAAGTAAAAGATCAAAGAGAGCTGGACAGATGGCTCAACAGTTAAGAAGAGCATATACGACTTTTGTAGGAAACCCCAGTTCAATTCCTATTATCTACATTGGACAGTTCAAGACTACCTGTAGCTCCAGCTCCAAGGGGGTCTGACACCTCTGGCCTCTTTGGGAAATACATACATGATTAAAAATAAAAATAAATCCTAAAAGAATTTTAAGGAAGAAAAAACTGAGGAGAATATCAAAATGGATTAAAGCAGGCTGAGGGAGGTCAGTCTGTAATGGGCTTGCCACGCAAGCATGAGGGCCTGAGTTCAGATCCACAACAGTCACATAAAAAGCTGGACTTTGCACATGTCTATAACCCCAGTGCTGGGGAAACAGAGACAGAAAGGTCGCTGAGGCTTGCTGCTCAGCCAGTCCAGACAAATCAGTAAGTTCCAGGTTAAGTAAGGGGCCTTATCTCTAAAAAGCAAGGTAAGGGCAATTTGAAGAAGACACCAGATTGTGACCTCTGACCTCACCACCCACCCACAAAACAGGTGTAAAGTGTGTAAAGTGTTAAGTTCTCACATGAAACAGTTATCAGAAAAACAGGGGTGTTTCTGGGTCTCCACTGATGTTTATTTTTGTTTTGTGTTATTGTGGCATTAAGACTCAAACCCAGGACCTCATGCCTCTAACAATGCACTCAACCACGGAACTTATTCTCCAGTCCAGAATTTGTGATCTTTTAGAGTCACAGAACTGCCAAGACCAAAAACAAATGCAGAATGAAATCGAGCCAGTCACTCAGTTTCTAAGCAGGGTTGAATTTATGTCCTCACGGATCTCTTATATGAAAGTCAGGACATGACTTGGGAAAGGAAGAGCCACCAGAATCAGAATGAGAGCATTTGGGAGGACTTGGTGGCCCCAACATCATTGCATTTTCTGTTCCAATGGCAAGACCTTCTAATGATCTCCCATGAAACACTGCTTCAGATAGGAGTTCTAACTCTCCTTGTACCCTTCCCCCGTGACTTTCTTTCCATCCAAGCCCAACCACTTCCAGATTCCAGAATCAGGGTGCCCAGAGGAACCAATTTAAAAAGGCAAACTTGGAAAGAAAAAGATTCACACCACAAAAGAATTGCAAGGTTTCCTAATTAGCATTGGCAAACAATTAGAGAATGTACTAGTGTGCTTTCTACCAGGGAAAAAGAGTGTGCGCCAAATTGTTAACCTGGGTGTACTAACCTGAAATTCAGAATTCATTGTACTTAGCATTCACCAGTTGTTAAGTAGGTTGGTTTGGTAGAGTCTGCATTCTATGTAGCTTATTGCTAAGGAAATGAAAATGATAAGACTCCAGAGACTCGGAGAAATCAGAATAAATTTGTGCATCTCACATACACCCAAAATAAACTCAGAAGACATTCTCTTTTCTAAAAGTTTGATAAAAATGTTGACAAAGAATCAGGATCCTTGAAGAACGTTTTGCTGAATGTCTTCAGTACCCTGTAGAAGGAGGTAGGCGACACTGCTACCGAAATTAGTTCCTTGATTCTCGTAGATCTGGTGAATATCCAGAGGTGTAGCCACCAAATTTAACTGGCAGAAACAGTGTATATTGTGACATAATTACGGAGTGATTTAACTTGCAAGATCTTTTGGTGCTGGATATTTGGCAATAGTTTCCCTAAAACTGAACCAGATGGACAGCCTACAATGCCTTGCCCTCTCTAGATCTTTGACCTACCTAATTAAGGAAATAAATCCACATATTTGCAGTCAATTAATTTTCAACAGAGATGCCAAGAACACACAATAGGGAAATGTACTCTTTCTGTAAACAGAAAATCTGGACACCCACATGCAAAGGGATGGAATTAGACCCAACTCAAAATTGATTGAAGATAAATATAAGACTTAAAACTGTAAGACTGGCTGGGCATGATGGCCCACATCTTCAATCTCAGCACTTAGGAGGCAGAGGCAGATGTATCTCTGGGAGTTTGCAGCCAGCATGATCTATATAGTTAGTTCTGTCCAACTAGGGAAACAATCCTCCAAGTAAAGAGACAGTCCACAGAAAAGGAGAACATATCTGTAAACCATAGACCTGACAAGGAGTTAATATTCAAGATGCAGAAGGAGCTCAGTCACAAAAACACAAACAGATGTAAACACGAACAGATGACCTGAATAGGCATTTCTCAAAAGAAAACATTCAGATGACCAATGCATCTCTAAAAAGACAATCTACGACACTAATCATCGAGGAAATAAAAATCAAACCCCCAAGGAGGTACCACTGCAAACCTGTTAGGATGGCTATTGTCAAATAGCTAAAATACCAGGAAGTCTGCTGTGAAACAGTTTCTCCTAGAAGTGCCTGCATAAATCAGACTGGAACAATGGCAGTATCAATGAACTTGTTAATGCAGAATGGGGGAAATTCCCCAGACCCCACCTCACCCCTAGACAAAGAGTTACAGGCAACTAATGACTCCTGGGAAAAGGAGAATTAGCCTCTCCCAGGGATGAGTCCTCCTTATTGGCTACCCAATGCAGAGTTGTCAGCCTTAAAACCGTATGCATACAAACAACAAAAATGGACTCAGCAGGTTATATGTATGTGTGTTTGTGCTTGCATATATATACATACATATGCATGTACATAACAATAATAGTCAAAGAAAAGAGACTATCAACTAGAGAATGGGGGACATGGGAGGGGCTCCATGGAGAATATCTGGGAGGGATGGGAGTGAGGAAAGGGAGGGGAGAAAGAGATGTAACTGAATTTCAATTAAAAATATATTTTGCAAAAGTCAAAAGATAGAAAATGCCAACAAGAACATAGAGAAAAGAGTATCCGTGCATGCTATTGGTGAGAGTGGAAGTTTGGGAAGCTATTATGGAAAATAGCAGAGAGGCCTCTCTATAAATTCAAAATAGAACTATCATGTGACCTAGCAATTCTATTTCTAGTCATACATCCAAAGGGAATGAAATCACCAAGTAAAAGGACACCTGCATTTTCATGCTCATTACAGCGTTACCCATGATTGCCACCATATGGAATCCACCTAAGTGCTCATCAGTGGTTGAATAGATAAAGAAATGTGATATGTATACACAATGGAATACTGTTAAACCTAGAAAAGGAAATCCCATCATCTACAACAACATAGAGGCACCCAGAACACACTATATTGTGTGAAATAAACCAGATATTTGGATGTAGTTTGGATCTTG